CCCGGCTAATTTTTTGATTTATTGTAGAGATGAGGTCTCGCCAAGTTGCCCAGGTGGGTCTCGAACCCGTGGGCTCAGACAATCCGCTCACCTCGGCCTCCCAAAGTGCTGGGATTACAGGCTGAGCCACTGAGCCTGGCCTTTTTTTTTTTTTTTTAAGTCAAGGTCTCACTCTGTCACCCAGGCTGGTATGCAGTGGCACACTCATGGCCACCACATCCTCAACTTTGCTGGGCTCAGGTGATCCTTCTGCCTCAACCTTCTCAGTAGCTGGAACCACAGGCATGCACCATCACCCCCAAGATGATTTTTTAATTTATTGCGGAGACGAGGTCTCGCCATGTTGCTCAGGCTGGTCTCAAACCCCTGAGCTCAGGGAATCCTCTCACCTCCGCCTCCCAGAGTGCTGGGATTACAGACACGAGCCACTGCACCTGGCCAATTTTTTTTTTCTTTTTGTAGAGACAAGGTCTCACTATATTGCCCAGACTGGTCTCAAACTCCTGGCCTCAAGTGATCCTTTCACCTCGGCCTCCCAAAATACTGGGATTACAGGCATGAACTGCCACAGCTGGCCTGGAAATCCTTAATGTTGGATGTTAGACTTCCTGAATTTATCTTTTGAATTTTTAAATTTGTTCTCTCCTATTTTCCAGAAATCTCTCCTTCCCTTTTTCCCCGTCTTCCTTCCTAACTTTGTTCCTCTCTTCCTTTCATTTTTGTTTACTTTCTGGGAGAAGATTTAACTTTATCTTTTGACCCTTCTATTGTACTTCTTTTCATGTGGCAGTCACATTTTAAATTTATAGGTGTTTACTCTTGTTCTCTTTTCCTTTCTTATTGCATCCTTATTCTCTTTTCCTTTCTTATTGTTCTTGTTTTATGGATGCACCATTATCTTGATTCTCTCTGAGAATAATAGAGAAATCTTTACATTTCCTTCTATTCTTTGAAATATCTGTTTCATTTGAGATTTTTTTTCCCCTTGTTTACTTATTTTGGTCTCTTTCTAAGTTGCAATTTTTTTTCCTCTCAAATGGCTGGTGATCCATGGTTGTTTGTTGATATTTAAGATAAAAATCTGATTGGAAGCTCTGTATGGAGGCAAGGCTAGGCAATTGGTAGTATCCCTTTAGAATGACTGGAGGAGAACTGACTGCTATGCTGCAGAGTCCTTGAATGCCATAATGCCAAGGTCTTTTCTCTGAGGTGGTTCAGTTTCCTAAGAGAAGAATCTTCTGGTTTTTGCCTAGTGAACAGATACCTGGCTGCTGTGAGTGGTACAAGGGAATAGGTAGACGGTTTGATATGCAGCCTTCCCGTTAAACTCCCTGTTTTCAGCCCCACATCTCACTCCCACCCTTCATCATACCTGGCATTGTCAAGACACAAGACACTCCGGGCTTCTGCAGAGAAAGATCAACTCCTTCCTCAGAGGCATCACCTCCATGCAGACTCCAGGCCATGGCTTCCTCCACCATGCTCCATCAGTCACCATTCCTCCATTTACTTGTTATCTTCCAGAAATTTGTTGAAATCGATCTCTTTTGTTGATGGACCTGCTCCCATTCTCTTCATCATTGTATTTTTATACTTTTTGTTCCTTTATGATCATTTCAGCAGGGTCTGAGGAGGGAGTGGAGATAAACGTGGTAAGTCCGTCATCTTGACCTAGAAATCTACTAGTCTACTTTTAACTGTTTGTTTTTTTGTTTCTCTGGTAATTATCTTCATATCTTTAAATAATTATAGCTTTTTCTATTTATCAACTTATTTATCACTTTTAGTCATGATCTATTTACTTCCTGCTATTTATACCACCCAAATGTCTTCTTTCCATGCCCCCAATATAGCCATGTCACTAATTATATATCCTCTATTTCTTACCTTTGTACCTTTAACTAATAGACTTATACTCCCTCTTTCTATCTTCTGTCATCTGTACTTTTATATTAACAAGGTTAATAATTGCATTCTGTTCTGTAACCATAATTAAGTCATCCATACTTTGCCAATACGTCATTCTAAAAGTCTGAGGTCAATAAAGTGTTTGTGCTATTATGATGATATAAATATTGTTCCACAAAATCCAATTAGTATACTAGGATTACACTGCTTTTCTTATACAGTTTTTTTTCCTGGAGTTTCTAATTGTCTTTCTTTTTTTCCTTGCATTGTCTGACTTTGTCACCTTCTTAAGTTATTCCACATTCTCAAGGAAAGCGAAAAATCATTTGAATCCCCTTTTTTCCCAGATACCTTCTTCCTGGAGCCCTCCGTCTTCCTGTTCCAATTTGGACTGATTGCTCTGTAGGCCTGCGGCACAGCTGTCATCCTTGGACGTCCCTTCATTACTCTTCTGGGTTGGACCCAATCTTTCTTGGACCCCATATCTTCCTCTTTCTTAGTTTATTCCCTTGTGGACACTGGTTTTCTGCAGCATCCATTCCACTCCTCCTCCACCATATGCAATTTGAGTGGGATTGACCCTACCACCACTCTAGGTATAGGTCCTTATTGGTATCTGAGTAATTTCACCCCATTAGCCACAATGATGATTGGTTCAGGGATGATCCAATCACAAATGAGGCTTAGAACTTTTGTTAAGCTTTTGAGGGAAGAGGTGACCTGTCTTCCTTTGGATGTGAACAAAGAAGCACGCAGCCTGGTTGCTGCTGTTGGCCATCTCGTGAACATGTGGGAGACCCACCTGAGGATGGAGCTGACAAATGGAGGAGGCAGAGCCAAGAGAATCATGAAGAAATTGAACCATATTCCTGATCATACCATGCCTGAAGTGTCCCTGCCTATGGACTCCTCAGTTAAGTGAGCCAATAAATTGCACTTACTGTTTAAGCCAGTTTGTGTTGGGTTTTCTATTGATGCCCTTGAAAACATTGTAATTTATGCTTTTGGCTTTTACCTTCTGGAAAGGGGATGAGTCATGTTTGGGTATATGAGGTATATTTGCATTATATTAGACAGAAGCTTTTTTTTTTTTTTTTTTGAATTGGAGTCTCACTCTGCCGCCCAGGCTGGAGTGCCGTGGCACACTCACGGCCACCACAGCTCAACCTGCTGGGCTCAGGTGATCCTTCCGCCTCAGCCTTCCAAGTAGCTAGAACTATAGGCACGTGTTACCATGCCCGGCTAAATTTTTTATTTTATTTTATTGTAGACATGAGGTCTCACCAAGTTGCCCAGTCTTGTCTCAAACCCATGGGCTCAGGCAGTCCTCTCACCTCAGCCTCCCAAAGTGCTGGGATTATAGGCATGAGCCACCACGCCTGGCTGCAGAAGCATTTTTCAAAGGGTAAGTATGGGAGGAAGAGTATATATGGATGATAGACTGCCAAAGGAGTGAACTCTAGTGCCCTCTAGCATCTAAATCCCCATCCTGTTTTGGGGGATTCCAGTCTACAGTTTTGGTGAGAGGCAGGGTCCCACTTTCTGGTACGGAAACTGATGATGGTCAGATACTTCCCTTGCCTGCCTGCCAGACATCAAGGACTGAATGCTCTCTCTGTTCATGGCTTTGAAATTGGAGTCAGCAAAGAAACCAGGAATATATAAAATTAACAGAAAGATGGTAGATTAGGGGAGTATGTTTGTTATGTGAAAAACTGACAAAACATCAATAAATAGAAAAAGACGGTAAACACAATAGAAAAACAGGCATAGGATAAGAAGAAAAATTTACAGAAGAGGAAACATTCAGAGATTTTCAACTCTCCTAATAATTAGAAAAATGAAAATTAAAATCACAGTGCGAAATCACTACAGGAATGGTACCATGTAGAAAGTCAGGTATTATCAAATACTGATGAGAATGTGAGGAAAAGGACAACCGTGAGTGTGAATGGAAATTGACGAAGACATTCCAGAGAGCAGTTTGGCAGTATCTCTTGGAATCAACTGTGTATACCCTACAGCCCAACCATCCCACTCCTGGACATATATTCCAGAGAAATTGAGGTTGCTTGTTGTACTTTTTGTGGTAGTGAAGAATTGGAAGTAGCCCAGGTGTCTTCACCATGGGACTGGATAAGCAAACTATTGTAATAAGCTAGATTTATATAGAGCCACATGGATAGGTCTTCAAAATGCAGTATTGAGTGAAAAAAGTAAGAAACAATGAGATTTATAGCATAATATTTGTGTAAACAACATTGTATATTTTCATAGCTATGCATATACCTAAATGAACATATGGAAGATGAACTGAAAGAATACACCCATGAATTTCACTAGAGAGGCTCACTAAGGCAGGCAGGAAAATGGAAGTAAGGATAGGGACTGATGGGGAAGAAAAATAATAAAACAAAAATAAAGTGCAAGAGAAGCCTTCAGTGAACTGGTGATTATAATTGCTGACTATGATTAACTCAGGCCTGAACTCAGGTATGAAGTCCACAACAAATCAAAACAGAGGTGAAGATGGTTAGTGCTCCTTTGCTGTCATGTGATGGTAGGAGCAGCCCCCTAACCAGGCTGTTCCTACAGTAGGATCTTAGCTGCAGTTCCTCCTGCCTAGCCTTCCTAGTTCCTTCTCCATGTTCTCAGCCTGATTCTCCAGACTTCTGTGTGCTACCTGATAACTTCCCAATAAATCCCTTTTCAGGTTAAGTAGAGTCTACTGTTACTTGCATCCAAGAATCCTTACTGATATATCATACATTTTGTTGGAGAACATCCTCAAGTAACTTCTTAAGCGAACTTTGGAGTTTTTGCATGTCTGAGCATGTAGTCATTATTTTATTTTCCTATTTCAATGATAGTTTGGCTTTGGAATTCTATGTTAGAAACAACTTTTCCTCTGAGGTTTGAAGGTATTGATTTTAGCCTGTAGTGTTGACTAGAAGTCAGATGCTAACATTCTCATTCCTTTGTTGATGACCTGTTTTTCCACTGCTGAAAGCTCACATTTTTCCCTCAACTTAGTGTTTTGAAATGTCACAATGATGTGCCTAGAAGTGTGCTCTTCCTTCGTCTGTTTTGCTGGGCACCTGGTAAGTGGGCCTCTGCTCTGAGAAATTGCTGTTTTTATTTATTTGCTAATTTTCTCTCCTTTATTTTCTTTGTTCTTTCTAAAACTCCGATTAGTTGGATATTGGGTCTCCTGGATGGTTGTCTTTGTTTCTTTTCTCACGTATTTTCCATGTCTATTTTTTGTTTTGTCTTGTTCTGTGTTCTGGTCATTTCCGGGTCTCACCTTGGCATCAGAGAGAGGTCATTTTTCAATTCCCCGCTTGTAGGCCAATTGCATTTCCTGTTCCAGCATAACACTTCCTATATCCATTTTCTTTCTGGAATATCACCAGCCTCACAGTGATGACTTGAGCTCCAAGGCCCACAAGAGACCATCACAGTAGTCAGCAGTACATATTACAGAGTGGATTGTTTTTAAAGTTAAATAACAACTTTTGTAGTGGGGCCAACAATCCAGTCTCGTTCCTTTTTACAGTGTTTCCTTTAACAAGAGTCAACAGCAATTCAAGCTGCATGTCTCCTGATGTGGTCCCAACAGAGTATCTTCTGTAAGCAAAGAAAGGTCTTAGAAAAAAATATGTGCACATTATCTCTCAAGAATGGGTTATAATTTTCAGTGACAATCAAGTCCAAACTCATGTTTAGGTTAAAAAATTGACTCAGTAGAAGCATAATACTGTTAAAGTATACACAGATTGTGTCACTACACAGAACATTTAGCATTTCAGTCATACTGGATAATATTTGCTGAATGCTTACTCTGTGCCTGGCATTCGAGTAACCTTCATTTCATAAGAAGGAAAATGCAGCTCCCAGGTGTCATTTGCCCAGGGTCACAGAGCTAGTAAATGGCAGACAGGAAATTGCACCAGGACTACCTAATTACAGTCAACCCATATAACTGCTACACAGGCCTGTCCTGGCTTCCACCAGCCACATTCAGGTTAATGATGATAGCATGATTTTCTCTAAGACCAGTGGGTGGATAACTGTGATGCTTTAGTCTAAGTAAAGAGCCCATTCTAGTAAGTTTGCTTCAGGGGTGAATTGGTATCCTTTTTCTGGAGTTTTTTTTTTTTTTTTTTTTGAGGTGGAGTCTCACTCTGTCGCCCGGACTGGAGTACAGTGGCCACTCCCGGCCACCGCAGCCTCGCCTGCTGGGCTCCGGTGATCCTTCTGCCTTAGCCTTCTGAGTACCCGGAATTACAGGCATGCGCTACCACGCCAGGCTGATTTTTTGATTTATTGTAGAGATGAAGTCTCGCTGCCCAGGCGGGTCTCGAACCCGCGGGCTCAGGCAATCCACTCACCTCAGCCTTCCAAAGGCGCGGGATTACAGGCTGAGCCACCGAGCCCGGCTTTTCTGGAGACTTTAAAACTATTACCAGCCTTTATTCTTTAGGATGTTTTTTATAGAAACCATAATACTTTATTTTTTAATGTTTATTTTTTATCAAAGGAATACACACATAAAGAAATAAAACATTTATCATCTATAAAATGGAAATAAATAAAACAATGGTAAAGGATGCCTTATAAAATTCAGCAATATACTGTCCCACTTCTTCCCACTGTACGTCCTGCTCCCTAGAGGCAACCACTTCCAACTCTTTTAGTTGTTGGCATTGACCATTCTCAAATCCCTTCTTCCTTGCCACCTCCCACTCAGAAGCTGAAGAACCAGATGCTTTCTTAGCCTTCCTTGCAACTAAGGATGGCTAGATGACCCAGCTATGACCAATGAGTTGTTTTCTGGGAGCCTTCTGGAAAAGTATTTGGTTTCCTAAGCAAAGAAACACACATAGCTAATGCTATCCCTTCCTTCTTTCTGCCTTGATTATAGGCATGCTACCTGGAGCTGTGATAGGCCATCTCGACCATGAGGGGATGAGTATGGAGATGAAGACAACACATTAAGGAAGAAAGAAAGAGCTCAATTTCTTGATGGCATCATCAAACAACTGAACCCATGCCTCACTTCCTGTCATTTGAAAACAATAAATTTAAAAAGTATGTGTTTAAGCCACTGTCAGTTGAGTTTTTATGTTAATTGTACCTTGAAAGAACTTTTAGTTGATGGGTCACCATGATTATTCATAATATGCTTATACTAGTTTCTTAACAATTCGAGACATTATCTCTTGAAGATAATTTACCTCTTTTCTATCCCCTCCACTCCTACCCCTACTTTCCCTCCCTTCATTATTCCAATTTGTTTATATTCAAATTCCTAGTAAACCGGTAGTCACTACAGAGCTAAAAAATTTACCTTATTTATATTTCTGGTTTTAATAATTGCTTGGGTTTTTTCCCATTTGAATCGTGCCTAGCATTAGTTTTTCCTGTGTGTTTCATCCATTTGTTCATAAATCTATTACCATATATTTTTATAAATGGTTAAACCTGTCAGTCCATTGATTTAAGAAGGCCACGATAAAAAGTTGATTGATTTGGAGCTCTGTGTAAGGGGCAGGGGGTTATCAGGTCTACTATTAGACTTCCCTTTAAGGTGACTGGATGGGGACCTGCACAATCAACTGGAAGACCTCTAAATTCAGAAAGTGGAGGCCTTTGCTCTGGGACTGTTTGACTTCTTTGGAGACCCCTCTGATATTTTGCTGGAGTATAGATGCTTGACTCTTGTGGTTTCTACCCATGGGCATCAGGGAGGTAAAGGAAAGGTGTGGGATATTGATTGTTCCAACATACACTTTTTTTTTTTTTGAGTTGGAGTCTCACTCGGTTTCCCAGACTGGAGTGCAGTGGCCGCTCCCAGCCACCGCAGCCTAGCCTGCTGGGCTCCAGTGATCCTTCCACCTCAGCCTTCCGAGTAGCTGGAATTACAGGCACGCGCTACCACACTCGGCTGATTTTTTTATTTATTGTAGAGATGAGGTTTCGTTGCCCAGGTGGGTCTCGAACCCGCGGGCTTAGGCAATCCACTCACCTCAGCCTCCCAAAGGCGCGGGATTACAGGCTGAGCCACCAAGCCCGGCTTCAACATATACTTTCAATTATCCCCAGTTTGGGGCTCTACATATCACTCCCATGGTCAGGATACCTTTTCTGCACCTCTCCAGGGTTTTGCAGAGTAGATCAGCTCTCTCCTGGTAAATGCCCTCCCACATGTGGACTATGCCCATGCCCTTTCCTGCCCTGCTTCCTCAGTTATTGCCTCTCCAGCCTCTTTCTGCTTACCAAAAAGTTATTAAACTCGCTCCCGCATTGATGGGAACTCTTCCAGTTTTCTTTGGAGTTTTGGTTGATACCCTTGATTCTTTTATTTTATGGAGTCTTAGGAGTTAAAGGAGACAAATGCATTCCACCTTTTTGAATGGAAGTTAGAATCTGAATTTTTAATCATCTGGATACACCAAGTCTGTAGACCACTTGTGAACCATTGGCAACAGAAAGGCCTGGGTTTGGGGATCTCATGGATTTGAGCTTGAATTATGACTCTCTGATTGCCTTACTCAACTTTACATCCATGGGCCTCAATTTTCTTCTCTATAAAATAATGTCCCAGGTAAAATCCAGTCCCAGGTAGAATAATCATGTCTACCTGATAGAGTTCTGGGAAGATTTCTTTAGATACTATATGTAAAGCAACCAGCACAGGGCTTGGTATATAGTAGGTGTCAAAAACAGGAGTGACTACTTTTTAATGGAAGCAAGTGGCAAATGTGATGGGAAAGATTTGAATCTGTTTTCAGAGGGCTTGGAATTCCAGGACTTACTCTTGTGGCAATGAGGAACCTTGGCAAGCTTGCGAACAAGGGAATGACCTGACCCCAAAGAATTTGTTGAATTGTTCCCTCAGTCTGGTCTGAAGAGGGAGCAAGAAGCCATTGGCCCAGCAGCTCTTGGGTTAAAATCCTTGTCTGCATCTGAGTTATTTGTAACCCGTTGTCATGGCAACAAGTTTGGCAAGCCAGCCAGTGCTGCAAGCTCCTGACAGTGCGGAGGGGAGGGCAGTGGGAGAAGAGGAAAGATTTGGAAGGGGGGTGGTCTGTGACCAGCACCTCACTTTCCTCTGATTTGTCTGAAGCTTTCAGCAGGAGATGAGAGTGAGCATTCGTGAGAGAGACTCACTGGACGTTGGAGACTCTCCTCCTCAATTTCCTGATATTTCAGATGTGAAAATAGGTCCAGAGAGGTCCAGCATCTGGCTCAAGGCCCCACAGCAAATCAGGATGGAGATAGGACTAGACTTTTTAAAAAAGAACTCAAAGTCGTTGAAATGAAGCACAGCAAACCTGGAGGAGACCTTTGAAAACATTTCATCCACCTCTCCACCAACACGCACACATATGTATTTTTGTTGTTCTTGTTCATGTGAGAAACCTGGGGTCCAGAGTGGTTCGGAACTGACTCAGTTTCACACAGAATTCCGGTGCTGACTTGAGATCAGAAGCCAGACGCCTCAGGCTTCCCAGGCCAGGGTACCTCCTGAGGAAGTGGCAGCCTAGGATTTACAGTGCAGAGAAGTCCCTTCTGCTGACTGCCAAGATAAGGCTTCCCAGGGTAAGACTGATTTGACTGCCTTGGCTTCTGACTGCTTTGGCCTTTGACCCCCTCAAACCCAACAGGCATGTGTTCAGTCACATTTTCTCTCCCCCTAAGCCCTTTTTCATCTGCATGTAAGTGTGTCTCTTGCCTGCGGCATAGCTGTTGCACAAACGGCAGCCCAGCCCCACCCCACTCTGGACCTACCACATGCTTGCGTGTCCATATTGCCCACAGGGCCAGGCACTTCTTGAACATTCCCATATGTAATTCACGCTTCCCAATTATCATTCTCTGTCTCCCAGTTTAGCAGGTGGAAGCCTAAAGGACCAGAGAAAGATAAAGTGACTGACCCAAAGTCACACCGTGAGTCAGCCTGAATCCCTCCTCCTCCTCCAGAAAGGTGCTTCTTCCCATTCTAATTCACACTGATTTCTCAGTTCTCAGAGTTTTTTCTGCACTTAGCTTTGTCTTAATCACCCCCTGAAACTTGTGCAATTTCCTCTGCACACTCTGCCTTATGTGCAGCCTAAACTCCTGGCTCCTTGTAGTTGATCCCTCTCTTTTCTGTCCGTCAAATCTACCTTCTCTCCTCAACCTCTGCCACTGTCCTGCTCCATCCTCAACACCCCTCACATGAATGACCCCAAATCTACTCCCTGTTTTCCTGGCCAACCATCTTCAACCTCATATTCTGCACACCAGCAGTGAGAGGGCATCGATGCAACAGTCAACAAATCCTTTCCTTCTGTGACACCCCATCCCCACAGGCTAAAGATCTGGTTCCTTATTTGGTAAATCAAGTCATTCACAGTTCTGACCCCTGCCAAACCTCTCAAGCCTCATCTCTTGCCACTCTTGGCCTCACACACTGTGCTCTGACCACTGAACTAACTATAAGTGCTTCCTAGGCTGTACTGGGCTTTTTCTTTTCTAGGTGTCTTTGCAATGACTTCTGCACGGAAGTCCCGTCCACACCGATTCCCCAAACCCAGTGAACTCAGCTGTTCAAGTGTCACTTCATCCATGCAACCCATCTTGATTCCCAAGTTGGATGGAATCCCGTCATCTAGGCTCCTACATCCCCCAGAGCTCCTTCTTCCCCTGTACGGAGCAGAACTGATGCCTGGGGCTCTCCAGCACCTGGATGGTCCCAGAGGAAGGATCAACGAATGTACATTGAATGAATCCAGGTGCATGAATGGTTGGATGACAAATGAAATTTGGGTTCAGCTCTGTGACTCGTACTCTAGCCCAAGAGGGCCCGCCACATGAAGTCACATGTTGCCTGGCGGTTTCCCCTGTCCCGGGGCGTGGTTTATCCGGAATGGGGCGTGGCTTGGGTCAGCCACGCAGCCCTAACCAGCCAGGTCTCTGAGCAGGGACGCATGGTGGAAGAGAAGGGGTGCTGATGAAACGGAGGTAGGTGATATTATTTCCCCTCCCCCTTATAGGTAAGGAAACAGGCACAGGGAGACTTAGGTTACTTACCAGAGTCACACAGCTAAGTACAAGTGTGCTGGGACCCTAACTTTGATCAACGCCAAGTCAGTTTTCACATTGTCCTGGCCCTTTGGCTGACAGGGTAGTTAATGGTGGAGTCGTGCCTCGAACCTGAGTCTTAGAAAAATAATTGTGAGAGAAGAAATTATATTTTGAACACGGTGACTTTGTGCAGTGGGTGGCCCGGAGGCCAGGCCAGACAGGGCATTTTCTATATATTAAAAAAAAGAAATTCCTAGGAACTCCTTAAATAAGTGTATATTTAACTTTTTCTGATGCTAAAATAAAATTTATTAAATACATTTAAATGTCTTTGGGGGCAAGGGAAGTGGGAGTAGAGTGTGGGACTACGGGGGAATAAATAAAATGAACACACAAAAGGAATCAAGAGAGGAGCCTTGAATGAACTAATGATGACCCTCATCCCCCAGAAGTAATACATGGTCATTGATGAAAATTTAGGGAAAAGACATCCTACCATCCAAACACAATTAATATTAACATCTTAGTGCATGTAGGTTTTTTTCTAGGGCTAAAAAAAGTGTGGGAACATACTGTATTTTCAATTATATACTGCCATTTTCATGTAAACATTTCCCATTAAAATTAGTTATAAACATCATTTATATGGCTGCAAAATATTTTTCTGAGTGGAGATACTTGCAGAATTCTTTACTGTGTGGGCTTTGGCATTTCTTTTTATTATTTTTCTTGCTTTTAGATTTATTTGGCCAGGTTGTAGGTTTGATTTTCTCAGTGTCTTCTTTTGAGAGAGAGCATAAAGAGAGATTGTTGTTTGAGAAACATAAGCAAAGCAGGGTAGACTTTGGGAAAACAGTAGTATTTGAGGGGAACTTTGCAGTATGTAATACATGCATAGGATAAAAGTCTTAAAAAGACATGAAAAGGTATACAGTGAAAACTAAGTCTCTTTCTCACCCCTCAACCTCAGTTCCTCAGATAACTGGAGATCACCTCTATTATCACTTCATTGTAGGGTCTTTATGCGAATA